CGCTTGTCTGAGCTGATGCAGCCTTTCCTATTCATACCTGTGTTGATGGCTTATTCGCTTTCTTTCTATCAACATAGTGATACATGTTGCAAGTATCTATATTGTGTATGAATCCACTGAACGAAATAAGTTAAACTTGTAATGAGGCCGTGGTTTTATGATACCAAGTGTTTTGGCAGTATCTAGCCTAGGTTATTCAGCCTCGTTTGTCCACTTTTTGTCCCAGTGTACATCAGCTCTGTAGTAGTACAGTTATGCTGGCAGATCTGCTTGAGGATTTCTGTGTGAAGTGGATGAAGGCATTTATCTGCCTTAAAAAGAAAAAAACAAACACACCACCAAAACCCAAATATTGGGGGCTTGTTTATTTGTTTTTGTAACTCTTATAAACTTTTCCTGACTTACAACAGCTTAGCACGACAGCTAAGTGTACCTGCTCAACACACGAGGCATACTGCTGCAGTGCAGAGGAGGAAGAGAGAGCAAGTACTTTAGCATAACACGCTTTGTTGTACGGAAGTACGGCTCCAGCTGGAGCCCTCTACCTGGGGGTTCTGAGTGGCTGGGGCTGCCACAACTGTCTTCTGCACTGTAATGCTTGCTGGCTCTTGAGACAGAATGGGCCTAGAAGTTGTTCTGTAACTATTTCCTTGTGTATTCTAGCTATTTTAGGAGGTATTTCACCTTTTAAAGCTGAACAGCTTTTCCAATATGTTTTCTTTCTTTGTGGTCTCACTGGTATTTGAGCTGTTCTCTGCTTTTCTTTAAGAACACTTGTTTTTTTATTTTACCTTCATAGTTTCTGCCTCCCAACAGCAACAAAGTAGGACTTTGTGCAGCCATTCTGAGAATTCTGTCAAAAAGGTTTCATTCAGAACTATAATATAAGAGAATAGCATAGACTATTTCAGTTGGAAAGGACCTATGATGATCATTTAGTCCAACTGCCTGACCAATTCAGGGCTGGCCAAAAGTTAAAGCACATTGTTAAGGGCATTGTCCAAATGCCTCTTAAACAGTGGCAGGCTTGGGGCATCGACCACCTCTCTAGGAAGCCTGTTTCAGTGTTTGACCACCCTTTTGGTAAAGAAATGCTTCCTAATGCCCACTCTAAACCTCCCCTCGTGCAGCTTTGAGCTATTTCCACACGTCCTGTCAGTGGATCCCAGGGAGAAGAGCTCAGCACCTCCCTCTCCGCTTCTCCTCCTCAGGAAGCTGTGGAGAGCAAGGAGGTCACCCCTCAGCCTCCTTTTCTTCAAACTAGACAAGCCCAAAGCCCTTAGCTGCTCCTCATAGGACATTCCTTCCAGCCCTTTCACCAGCTTTGTTGCCCTCCTCTGGACACATTCAAGGACCTTCACAGCCGCCTTAAATTTTGGGGCCCAGAACTGCACACAATATTCAAGGTGAGGCCGCAACAATGCTGAATACAGCGGGATAATCACCTCTTTTAACTGGCTGGTTATACTGTGTTTGATGCACCCCAGGATGCGGTTTGCCCTCTTGGCTGCCAGATAAGCATTTGTCTTCCGTCTGCGATACAGAATTGTCATGCTAGGTGTAGTGAACAAAATAAACGTGTGTTGATCCATTCTTAAATTTGCATTTTTTACATCTTTATATGGATTACATAGAATCACAGAATGGTTTGGGTTGGAAGGGACCTTTAAAGATCATCTGGTTCCAACCCCTGACATAACAGCTCTGTTAATAGTTGTAATTTTTAGCAGGCAAGAACGTGTGGTGTTTCGCACTGTGAAACATGAGCAGAGTTAAAAGCTCAGTTGTTAATTTCCTTGTGCGTCCTTGCCTCAGAAGATAAGGGAGTAACCAAAGTGCCAGTTGCTGCTCTGCCTGTAGGTCAGCACAGGGGGAGCCGAAATGGACTTTGCTAGGAGATACCGATGTCCATTGGTGTCAGAGAACAGACCTACTCAAACCCTGTGACCCTTAATCAGGACCAGGATGGGAGGGAACGTAGTTGGACAGACTGAAAAGCTCATCCCTGGTAAATCCTTTACCTTTCCTTCTTCAGCTTGTCTCTGTCCAACCCATGGGACACGCTCATCTTCTGATTCTTCATCTCATGATGATTCTTTGAAGCTGGCCTAAATGTGCTCCTGCTAGAAGAATCGTACTTCCTTTGGCCCATTTGTCCCTGCTGTGCTGTCCTTGTACCAGCAGGAGAGAAATGCTAGGGAATGGCTAAAAATAACCAGAGATGCGGAAGGGGATTTTGTCTATTTCAGCATTGAGGCCACATTTGTACAGATGCATTGATGTGATATATCTGAGTTGACCTATCACTGTTGCTGAAGGTGAAAGGCCATACTCCTGTGCGTCCTTGAAAGGTTCCAGTGCCTTTCTGATGGCATGGTAGATTGCTTAGAATCACCAAATACAGCAGAAATTAACCTAGCAAAAACAAAACAAAAACTAGTTTTCCATTTGGCTTCTGAATTGAATTGACTTAATTTTCAGGCAGATAGTCACCAGAGCCAGCTCAACTGAGAGGGAAAGTCAGAGCAACAGTAGTAGGATAGCCACTTCTAGCAGCTGTGAAACATTCACTTCAGTCTGACTTTAGATGTATCCTTGGCTCTGTTTCTCTCCTCTTCGTCCCCAAAACTTTCTTCTGGCACTTTCTTATCCAACTGTCCTGCTCTGACTTATTCTGAGTTCTGGCTACTTCCTTGCTTTCCTGTTTACTTCCTTGCTGTCCTGTTGCTCTACCATTGCTACATCCATTTCTCTTCCTCGCCTCATTGGTTTTAGTTTCCTGACACTCCGAGCTCTCCTCCGTTCCTCCTTTGATCTGTATCTTTCCACTTTTCCATGGCTTTCAGGGAATTTCATTCACAGACTTCTCATTAGGTCTTGGGCTCCCTCCTTACCCTTTCCTTTCTTTGCTCCCAGAATCTATGCTTAGCAATTCCCATTCCTTCCTCTCTACTCTTTCCTGCAGCTCCCCACCCCACCCCGATCCATAGCTGTAGCCTCGCTTGTGATGATTCTTAGTGTCAGTCAGTACCATGACCGTATTAATTTTTAATCCCCATTCTCCCAAGTCTATTTCTCCTCCACTTCTTTCACCATGTCCAGTGACTCTTCCTTCCCCGGGCTTTAAATGCCATTTTCCCTTCATGAACCAGCTTCTGTCTATTTTGTTTCTGGTTGTCCTGCTTAGGCTGCAGTTCCACGAACAAAGAGTTCTTTCAGGGAAGTGCTGGATTTTGCAGTGTTATTTTTATGCCTCTTAAGTTTCCTGATCCAGTTTATTGCCTAGCCTACGCAAACAGTTGTGCCAGCTTAACGGAGAGGAATTGGGATAGAAAGCATGTGTGTTAGCCCTGATGTTGAACAACATGTCAGTGGGACCAGTATCCTTCCTTAAATAGTTTTGGTTTTACCAGTTCTTTCCAGCTCACAAAGCTGTTCCTAATTTCTGTCTCCTCTGCAGTATCAGACTCATCAAACTGCATCTCAGTTTGCTCCTTTCACTCCAAGTCCTTTCTCTTACCTGTATGCATTCAGAGCAAATGAAGCTCTGCTTTCATTATATCAGGGCACCAGGTGGCTGGAGAAAGCTGTTGTATGGGTTTTGTCTGGTTTTTAAGTGCTTTTTATCCAGTGGCGTTTCTCATACGAAAATGGGAGACTCCTTGACAGCAGTCTTTACTCCTATTTATTGTTCAGCTGTTGGTTCCCTCTCATCTTGAACTTACTTTACCTTTATAGGCTCAGGTGTTGTGGTTTTTTTCTTCTTAGTGCTGAAATGGATTTGTGTGTCCTGGTTAAATTCTTTCCCATTAAAACAGAACACAAAATAAGTGGCAGATCTGTCTGGATGCTTTGTGAGTAGTAGACTGTCCTTGTTCTGCATCGTGTGCTAAAGACAACTAAAAGCTTTATGAAGCTCCCTTGAAGGACTCAGTTTCTGCCTAGCCTTTGTCAGCTAACAATGGAACCTGTATCTGTATCGGGTTTTATTCTGCACCATCAAAAAGTCATAGTTCTTTAACTGGAGATGTAATTTCCTGGTACCCTTCATTTATGTGGTTTTATTGCACCTCATCTTTTCATCTAATCCTTGACTATTCATAAAGCTAACAATGTCTTTTCTCCACCAAAATATCTTTCTGTCCTGTCAGTCTTGGACTCAATGCTTGAAATATTAAAAGGAGGAATGGTGTCTGTGTTTCAGGATGCTAAATCATCAGTAGGATCCAGTCTCTGCTTTATCGGATGGCTGTTTGTGCTGCGTGTGTAAACCGGTGCTGGTCCTGCATGCACTGCCCTGGGTCTGGGAAGGCCTCTTATCTTGGGACCATTGCTGGTCCTTGCTTACTCCAGCTGGCTCTGTGTTGACTGAGCCTGTGAGAGTATCTGTGATAAGTGTCTCATTTGGGGAGCATAAGCTACTTCTGGACCCGGTGTACATGGTACTATATCCAAATAAGTCTATAAAGAACTGTGCCTGCTGGTGGGAACAGTGCCAGGAACAGCTCAGGTCTGTTAGCAGTGTTAACATCTGAATTTTTCCCTTGCTGGGATATCCCACCTCCTCATTACTCCAGAGGGTGAAGGGTTGACTGGAGCATGGGAGCTCCATCCACTGCCCCAGCCTTCTGACAGCAACAATTCTTTCAAGTCTGAATGCCTAGACCATCCCTTTTTCAGCAGAGTACTTAAGTCTGTGCCTGCTGTTCATGCTTCGCTGAACTGGGAATAACCTTAACCGTTAAACCATTCCTAAAGCAGGTTGCAATTAAATTCCACTAATTATGGCCTCCCAGTCTGTGTATGTACAAATGATGTGATTCTTCACTAGTAAGCTTCAAATGCTTTATTAATGTGGTAGTTTCTTTTAAATATACCAGTTTATACCATATGCATTGTAAATCAGCTGTTAGATGAAACAGGGCTTTCTAGTCCTGTTCCAGAAGACACTCATGTAGTAAGGGATTAGTAATGTTACTGATTTAATTCAGGGGAGGAAATACAGTGCTGAAAAAAGTAACTTCTAGGAGTTTGTTTAGATATTTTTGCTAAATGCTAAACAGAGCAATGATTGAATAAACTTAATTCCAGGTAGATACGTGTTTAGGGAATACCAAGATGGATCATACTCATTTGAAATGTTTAATAAGTATCCAAATAACTCTGGATGTTCAGTTGCAGGACCAGCACTGCCTCCAGGCTATAAAAGCAGCTGTAGCTCGGAAACTCCTGACAGTGATGATGACTTGGAATCTCTTCCTCTACCCAGAGACACAAACAAAGAATCTGAAGAGGAGACAGAAGGCGATCCAGCACCCAAGTGAGCATGTTCTTAGGTTATTTGTATATTTACATTGCATTGCAAATGGAATGTGTCTGCGTAAATTATGAGAAAGGAACAGTATTATATAAATAAAAGGGTAAAGTCTCTACCCGTGTGAAACTTGATGATATGTTCTGCGCATTCTTTGTGGTTAAGAATGGTCAGCTGACCTGTTTGACACCTGCAGTGGAATTAAGTTATTTAGAGCAATCAGATCTCTGTATTTACATGTTTTATTTTAGTTCTGCAATTAAAGTAATAAAATCCTTAATGTTTTGCTTGTTTATACTAAGGACAGACACCACTTATCATCTATGTAAGTATTTGGTACTTGAGTTTTGCCCTGTTACTTGTATACTACCTCTCATTGAGAGGTCATAAGAACTGTTTATGGGCATGAATTTATGCATTCAATTAAGTCAACTCTAATGGGAAAAAAAACCAAATTGTTTAGCAAATAACAGGAGTCTGCACATGCTCTCATTTGGTGGGGTTGATTACTCACAATTGCTGTGTTAAGAACTTGCGTGTGTTTGTGCTAGGCCTTGTATATGTACTTGAAGGGCATTATGCCATGTTAATGAGTGTTAGACTAATTATTCCTTTTTTCTTGTTGTCTTATTCAACAGTTTTTCAGTTAATTAGAATTGAACTGGGAAAAATACTAATCAAAATGCAGACAGTGTATAAAAAAGGTGAAAGAAGTGTGCTGAATTTAAAATTATTTTGTGACTAGAAAATGGTATTTCAACATCAGACTACTTTTTACAGCAAAAGCGTTCTTAATGTTTGTTTAAATGTCAGCATTTTTGGAGTGAAGCTTATGCTCCCAATTTTTTAATTGCTTCAAATTATTTTGGATCCTTTTGCACTGTTTCCTTGGTAACAGCAGGATATTTAGTACATAAGACTGAAATAATTTTATGTATTTTTTTTTTCCTTTTAAAAATGTAGATAATTGCTATGCATGTCAAGGTAATTATTAAGTGAAATCTTTGTATTTGCAGAAAGCCAAAAAGAATTCAGGAAGACGATGATGATGATGGCTTTTTTGGGCCTGCTCTTCCTCCTGGATTCAAGAAACAGGATGATTCTCCAGAGAGGTAATTAAAATGGAATTATATTCAGACACTTTTCTTTAAAACACAATTATTTTAGATGAAATATTTTGTGGCACTATTACAGAACACTTCAATTGTGCACCTCAGATTCACATGATTAGAATTGCTTCCTCCACATTCTGAGTACAGGAACAGCATTCCCTTGAAACAGAACACACAGTCCTCATAGTCCTGGTTGGAAGGTTGAAGAGAAAAAGAAAATATGTGAATTGTCTGAGTTATATTTCTGAATGTCAGATTTCTTCCATCTCTTACAATAGGTCTCAGATCAGTGCAGAAAAAACAAATTACAGGTACAAGGACCCGTAGCTCATTCCAGGCGGTGAGGGGGTAGGGCAGTTACCTTTTGTGTGGCGCAATACAATGCAGATTATTGGAATTGTCATTTGCTAGTGCACCAAGGATTATTGTTTACGTGTTTCCAGGTAGAAAACTAATCTGAACAGTGTAAGTTTCTAGACTAGGTAATTATTAAGCTGTCAGGTCTAAGCAAATAAGCATTATTTATAGCCTCTATTAGGAAGCTTTCCATATGATTGCATGCAATTATAAAATACTTCCCCCAAAAACCTATTTATGGATTTTCTATGCAGAACTTAACCATGTCCCACAGCCTTCTAGTCTTTACATCAATCTGTGCGCTTCCTTCCATAATTTGAAATGATAATCCATTGTGAAATTGGTACTTCCAAGGGGACGCTTATTGATGAAAGGTACAAGAGAGGCCCTTGAGAGAGTCCCTATTATCTTCCTCGGAGCAACAGGTAGCTGGTAGATAAAATAAATCAATACCTACCTGTCAGGTATGAGTGTTCAGTTCTAGGAAAGTGACTCAATTTGTTGTTGAGCTGTATATGTAGTATACCATCTCAAAGGAAATTTCAAAGTTGGAAGTTTTTTTTAGTTTGGATAAATTTTTATGATGCTTGGCAGCAGTTAGGAAAACAAGAAGTTACGTAACTAAGGCTATTTGGAAGTATCCTCTTCGTATCTGTTTGGTTACGCTTTGCCGTAATCGACAAACTCTTTCATAATTGTGGGTATCATGCTCAGTGGGCTCGTTTGGTGCTTTGATGGTCCCAAGAGTAACTAATATTTTTTTCTTTTTCTTGCATTTCCTATGCACGATGTGTTATGTTAATTATGAAATTTAGGAAGTCACTAAAAATAATGTGATCTCTAATAAAGCAAATAAATGCTTGTAGCTTTTAATATCAGCAGAGGTAGCCTTCTTGCTTTCTTGATTTTTTGATGTGACTACTCCTGTGGTAAAATGTCATGTCATAGTGTGCAAAGGAAAAGCAGAAGAAAAGAGCCAACTTGTGGTTTGAAGGTATTAGAGAGATGAGCAGTAACACAGGTGGTCACCCATCATATAATCATAGCCTTTTGTATGCTCACCCAACTTTTATTTCTACTTAGCATCTTATTTCCAAAATGCTGGATAACTTGCATTTACATTCAGAGGGCAAAAGTCAGCTCTGTGTCTGAGAGTACAAGAGATTAAAGCAGTAAAAGGCACTTGCTAGTTTGGGGCTTTTTTGTCCTAGCTCACCATACTGCTCGTAGCACACCCTGAGAAAGCAGATTGAGCAGAGCTGGTTTGCACCCAGCCTGATTCCCTGAATAGGTGGGAAAGGTGTGATGTGTGGGAAGAGCCTTGTCTATCTTCCACCCCCGTACACCTGGCAGTCTAGTTGTGCTGACACACTGAGGCGTGTAAGCTGTGCAGGGTGTAGACACAATGCTGTTAACTGTCTCCCCGCTGCATTGCCCCTAGCGTTGAGCAGATTGCCAGCTGATGATCTAGCCATGAATAATGGAAACAAATGTAGGCTGTTTGTTTCAATGTATGGACATACTGTTTATTAGCTCTGTGTGACATACTTCTTTTAGAAAAGCTTTTGTTCTGTTACATCTTTTCCAGACTTGTCAAAGCAACATATTAATGATTAGGAGCAGCTCATGTGGCAATGTGCAGCTTGTTAAAAATTGTTTGAATCATTCCAGCATAAAATATACATATATAAAGCAGATTTCCTTCAACTTTGGAAAGGATATTGCCATTTATCAATGTTAGATAGAAGTGCAGCGCTTGTAAATATTCTGGAAGTATTCACACACCAAGGTAAAGAGTAAAGGTTATCTTAAAAGATTTCATGTTATACATAAGAAGAACACTGAAACACCCATCTTGAAACATACATTAGCAAGGACTCAAAGCCCAACAACAGGAAAGCCGCCTTTGCCATATATGACATCCAGTATTCCTTAAATGAAAGCTTAACTCATGATAAGTTTGGGGTGGTTTTTTTGAACGTGTATAGGTAGGTACTGAAGTTGCCGACTAACAGTTTTATTTAGATTCACTTCACCTGTTCAGAGAGCCTTTGGACATCCAGGAAACTGTGAAGGATCATGTCGGCTATGTGCTGCCAAGGAAAGACCCAAGCAACAGGGTTATTCATGTGGGAAAAAAAAAAAAGGCATAAAATGGAAAGCGTGGGAGGGATGAATATGGGAACCATTTTTCTATTCCTTGGAAGAGCCTTTGAGCTGTGACAGAAGCAAGGCAGAGTATTTGAGATCTGCTCTTTTTGACAAGTTGCACAGATACAGCCCACAACATGGATGTTCTTATATATTTTAGTAGAAAGCTTTTTTTATAGTTTGGTTTAACTGTCTCTCCATGCAAAATAAAGGTACTTGTATACTAAAATAAAAGATTATTTTGGCCATATCTCTATAGGTTTAAATTCAATCCCTTTAAATTATATTTGGAATTTAAAATACGGTCGTCTTAACAAGAAAGCAGTCAGAAAGGAACAGAGGCAAGTAAAAGCTGTTTCTTTTTTGCGGCAGCTAGAGGGAGGTGAAACTTCAAATTTAAAGCAGACCTCTTGCCTGGGTTTGAAACCTCACCAGTGCCCTTGTCCTGGCCTGAGCTCACATTAATTGCCTGTGTCTGTCTATCTGTGGTTGGCATTCTGGCAGGACTTTCTGCTTTTTATGTCCCCTCTTTAAATCCTGACAATAATATCACTACAGCAGGGCTGTACTGATTAGATTATGCAGGATTTAGTAGAAGACCATCATTAGCATAATTCAGTTCTTGTTGTGTTATGTTTGATCGCCCTAAAGCTCAGAAACATAATAATCATAATAAACAAAGTCTCTGCTGTTACAGTGTGAGGATACTGTCACTTGGATATTTCTTCAGGTGATAATTGTTTGGATTTTCAATTAGTTTTTATTAGCTTTAAAGAATATGATGGTGAGTTATTAAGAGGAACTCGTATACAAGTCTTTTCAGTACTGCAGGCACAGTTTGTAGTACGCTTTGAACTGTTTTCACCATTGTAGAGAGATTCTCACCTTTCCATGTTCCTGGAGACAATTGAATTATACTGCTTGCAGAGCTGCTGTGTAAAAACAAATCAGTGAAGTTACCTGGAATCACAAAACTTTTCTTCTCTTGTCCCCACTCCAAGGGAAAATAAACTTAAAATCAGAGCAGATCACTGATTCTGTGTATTGAAGGACAGTGAAACTGTGGTGCAAGGCAAGAATGAACAAAATTGGCTTTGTTGCTAGAGAAGGAGAAGCGTATATTTGACCTCCCCCCTTTCATTGCACTTGAATCTGGTGAAGAAAGCTAGGGAAGAAAAAAGTGGATTCCTTTGACTACATGCTGCAACTTTCCTGGTTTTCTTGCATCCCAGCTATCTGCAGAGGTCCTCCTGGAAAACGGAGAAACTCTTCTTGTTCAGTTATTTCTATGGTGTGTGCATAGGGGGCACACTTGGCATAGGGAGGAAGGAGAATCACACTTCTCATCAACATTTTATTTTTATTTTTATATTAATCTATTACTTTTTTTTTCCCTGCAGCAAACAGTGGCAGGCTGTCATTTAATTACTGTCCATGTTGGTTATGTTACTTCCTCCCCCCCACCCCCTCCAACTGAAAACCAAGACATTTCTTTTTTTTTTTTTTTTTCTCCCCTATCAAGGCCCATTATAGGTCCTGCATTACCGCCTGGCTTTAGGAAACCTTCGCAGGACACCGGGAATAGCAGATATTCCATAGGACCGTCCGTTTCATCAGAATTCCATACCCAGGTTTGTGAAAACAGAAGCATTTTGGTTTAGTACAGGCTATCTGAAATGCTTAAACAAGTAGGAGCCCAAAAAAGTCTACTAGGCATACTTTTCAGCATGATAGTTTAATTTTAGACCAGAAAGTGTCGGGCATATTTTTGCCTGAGTCAAATACTGAAGCATAAATAAGCCTTAAAAAACAAAAAGGCTGGTCTGGTTTGTTGTGATTTTGCTTTTAGACGGATGATGTGCTCACTGAACACAAGAGATCTAGGCATCCTAAACTGCAGTCACAGTAATTCTTCCAAATGTTTTTCCATGCTTTCTTTCGGTGTGATGTCCTTCACAAGTGAACATCTTGGCAAAGTTCAGATTTGTAAAGACATTAAAGAAGTAACACAACCTGTTAGGATGAAAGGATTTACGTGTCATTCAAGCTTTTATTCCTTTGCTGATGGGCGAGCAAAATGAGTGAATATTTCACATATCTTCACATCCTTGAAAATGTTTATTAGTGGATGTATTAAATAAGTTTATCCAAAAGAATCCAATCAAGAATGATGCTACAGTGTCACTAATTGTTCGTATCAATAGCAAGATGATACCTGTAACTGGGAGTAGGGCAGAGCAAGACAGTGACACTGACACAATTTTTTGGTTCATGTTTTTTGACTGTTCTCATCAAGTTAGGTAAAAACTAGGTAGAAGTCCTATAGTCTAATCCCTAGCCGCAAAATAATGCATATACTACTAAAGAACATTCAAGAATAAGATGTGTGATAAAATACAGCGAGAAGTATGGGGAAGATTCAGCTCCCTAAACATGGGCCTCTAGTACCATTTTGAGGGGTCTTAATCGTCTGCAGCGGGCTGGCAGATGGGGAGTAGCACCTTAGAGAAGCTTGTATCCTTCTTGAGCAGCACCTCTTAAGCCAGACAGGATACCCTAAGACATCAAAAATGATACTGGATACCAGTGTTTGGGTAATTGAATCTCTCTCATGCTATGATGAACTAAATATTAATTCCTTGTGAGAATTAAGTTATTCTGTTTATTTCTAAAATACTTACATTTTTAAGTTTAACTCCGAGACACTATGGGACATGCTGGACATGCTAGACATGCCAGGAAGGATTGAGGCAAAGGCTGCTCTGGAACTTCACTTTTTTGATTAGTAGTTGCAAAGTATATCATTCTCCAGCCTCCTACAGCGAGTGTTGTCATAATCCTTCATGAAGAATGATTGTCTGACATTTTAAGATACTCGTAGTCTTGTAACTCCAAGTAACGATTAAGCAATTTATCATAATGACAAATCTCTTGAGGCAGGGATGTCAAAACTGGTCTGCTTATATATTTTACAAACAAAAAAGTCTCTTTTCTCCTAAATAGATCTTCTAGCATAAGCTTTGTTACAGCTATTACAGAACTTAGCTTATTTCATTTTTTTCTCTTCCTAATAATGCTCTTTTTTTACCTTTGAATATGATGAGTACTTTTTTTTGTTTATTTTGTTTTAATTATGTAATTATTTTGTATTCTAGTACATCTTTAGAGGCAGCTTATTCCATGCTGACTCTTCGCTTTATATTGATTTCCCCTTCAAACTTGAGGGGAGTATTTTTCAATGTTTAATTTCATCTTGTTTGAGGCAGGTGGTAATGGAGTGAATTGAATTTAAGACTAATGAGAAAGGAAATGAGACATGCTTCTTCAATTAAAACTCAGCGTGGCATTTGTCTTTCATCCTCAACTACTTCACAATACAATTTATTATGAAAAGTCTTACATATTTGCATTTTTTATTTGTTTGTACACAGAGAGAGGGAAGTGGTTTACTGCCTTGGTTTCTCAAGATGGTTATTCCTCTTCCCTACCAGCTCCATCTTTAGAAAAGAGAGAGAGAATGCAGTCACCCCAATCTCTAAAAATTGAAGCGATATCACAGTGGTAGATAATTAGTGAAAGCTTGACTATGTAACTGTTTTTGAGAAAAACGACGAGAGAAATTGGTGTTACCACCTTGCATTGATGGTGTTTATAAATGAGCAGCTATTTCTCACCGTCCTCAGTCTTTCAGACCCATTTTATGCAACTAGTCATACAGCCATTAAGTTTGCTAAGCCTCTTCTTGCACCTTGTGGTCCACAGCCATACATAGCTGTGTCTCTTGCCACCTGAAACTTGCCTTCCCCACTGTTCATACCTTTGCTGACTCCTAAAGGCAGACAGGGCCAGCTGGCTTGGCTAGCTTGGAGCGGCATCATTAAAGCACACCGGTTTCTGTAGCAAATGGCACACATAGGAGTAACATGGCTTGTTTCACACCTGCTGTGTTCCTTAGCCCAAATCCCTCTACAGCAGTGGGATGCCAGCTGTGAGCAGCCTGAAGTATTAGGCTTGAACTCAGTGTAGCAGGATACCTTTCCTCCTCTCACTCGTCCTCCATTCCCCATGCTCTCATTAGGTGACTCTTCTAGTGAGGTTCTGTACTCCGTTCTTGTATTCTCCACTGGGTCACCTCTGCCTCGGGCGCCTTATTTTACGTAGAAGGTTCCCGATACTGTTTTTCCACTGCTCATCGCTCTTGAGCCCTTATCTTCTCTGATGGTGTTGTATCTTGGTTCTAGGATGTCCACCTGGTAACTAAAGTTTGGCATGACAAATACAAGCCATTCCCCCCCACTTTCTTCATCCTTCATTTGAAACTTCTTTGCCACCACCTTATATTCTTAAGTGATGCTCTGTGCTTCCTGAGTATACAGCCTTGTCATCCTACTCCCATTGCTTTATCACCCCACGTTCAGGCTGTAGCTAAATCTTTTCACTTTCATAGGTATTGGGTACCTTAGCTTTGCTTCCAGGGCACTGTGGTGTCACCATTTTCTGTCTAGTTCTGCCTCCATCCACTTCTGTACTGTTTTAACCTGGAGGGACCTGTGAGCTTTCTGTACAGCCCCTGGCATCCACAAAGATTCTTATTACCATCTAGTCCCTTTCAGACTTAGTTTTTTGAGCCGTTCTCCAAATAATGGCTTAGAATGCAATGTCAAAAGGGATCGAAGAAGCGAATGACAGAACCAGGAGATTAGACTGGCAGATACTATACACCCAGACGTGTTGTACCATGCCTGCCACTGTACCCTAGCTTGCATGTTAATCTTTCTAGCATCCTTACAGAAGCTGAGCTCAAGACAGTTCTCCTGGCAGTGCGAAATTGTGATCCTTATTACAGAGATGCATCCAAATGTTGCTGGCGATGGTAAAGCCCAAAGTATCAAAGACGTATGCATGTGTGTTTCGAATTTACCTATGGCCACAGAGGCTACGTGGCTGCCTGCAGAGCCATGTAAAGTAGGAGGACTTTGTGTATTGCCACTGCATTTACCAGTGGTTTTGCCTCAGATGAGAGATAGTGCTTTTGGAAACATGGAGACTAAGTATCCATGTTAAAGTGCTAGAACAGGTCTAATCTGGAGTTTTAACCCAGGTTTTTGTTGTCTGACTGGCAGATGCATTGCATTAGGTTTATATGTTCTTCTAGACAAAATCATTCTAATCCTGTGAAGCTAAAGTGTTTCTTGATGGTCTTAGCACTGTGGTTGAGAGAAATGTTTTATTTTTGGAAGGTAACAGATAGTAGTGAGGACGAAGACAATCTTATAGGCCCAATGCCTGCAAAAGAACCAGTGGAGTCTGATGTGACTAAAGAATTTGAACGCAGAGCTCAGAGAATGAAGGAAAAACTTACTTCAGCAGAAAGTGTAAGTTGGATTTCTTAACTTATGATATTTTGTTGGTGGAGCGTATTTGTGTTTTTCTTCGCCTATTTCTGTGTGAATCCAGTTGCAGTTCTGCTTGGGATGCTAAGACTTTGCAATTTTTAAGACAAAGAAAAATCCATGATTTCTGCTGGAAGCTAAGAGATTCAGACAGCAATTTTTGATTATGCTTTTTTTTTTTAAACACACACCCCCTTTCTTTTGTAAAGGATGAACCCAAGCCGGTTACCAGGGAATCGTGGATGACAGAACTTCCACCTGAATTGAAAAGCTTTGGATTTGGCCCAAGAACATTCAAGAGAAGAGCTGATGACAAATCAGGCGATAGATCTATTTGGACAGATACTCCAGCTGACAGAGAGAGAAAAGCCAAGGTGAGCATTTATTCATTCATATACACCTGCAGGCAGTATGCATGTTGTTGATGTGCTGTGGAAACAAAGTAAAGATATCCTGAGCTGTTCAATGAAATTTTTTTTCCAGATTTTTTCTCTGTTATCAGAACTTACTAATTCAGGCTTTAAGGTAAAGGCAAGGAAATAACGATTTTAAGTAACATTGATATTAACTTATTCCTTCTCCCTTCTGCAGTAGTCAGGTGCTCTGTATCAGCAAATTGAATTTCCAATTACAGTGTGTCCAGTTTCTTCTTTTATCAAGCTGAGCAAAAAATATCCGGTGGCCTCTATCGTGGCCTCTACCCTTCAGATTTAATTAAATATGGATTTCCTTGCTTTTTACTTCAGACATTCTGATTACTATAGCATGTGATTTGCTTCTACTCATCAGGAAAGAGAAGAGGCAAAAAAGTCAACCAGTAAGGATAATGAAGAAATTGTATTATCTGGGAGAGACAAGAGACTTGTTGAGCAGGTGACTTCATACAATGTAAGTGTAATAGCAAAATGCTTCCTCTTCCTGCATTTCATTTAATTCTTCACTCTTTTCTTTTGGTTCTCATTTCTAGCGCTGCTGGTTTCCATGGTGATGCCACTACAGTCTTCCCTTTTAGTGCCCAAACCTACCGCTGTTTAAGTCCTTAGAACGTTTGCCATAACTTCAGCAAGAGCAGGGTTTGGGTCCTCAAGCTGCTGCTGAAAACAGTGTGACAGAATTGGGGTTTGTGTATGTTGTCTCAGTTTTAGGTGATGTTTTCCTTAAGTTATCCTCATGTCAGGACATGGTTGCTGGGAGTAGACAACCTGAATTCAAATATTAGATTGCTTCACTGAATTACTAACATCCCAAGAATAAAACAGTAGTAAAGGTTTAACTTTTAGGACAAAATATGCCATTAACCCAAAAGAAGCTTGATGGGCTAAGCAGATCAATGCATTAATTACACCATGTAATTAATTACATTAACTGCTCCTTACAACAGCATATTACCTGAAGTTTTCCTCAGTCTCTGCAGAAGCAGGTAATTTTCACAGGCAGATGTTGATTACGCACTTTTCTGTCTGCCAGCCCTGTCCACCAGAGTATATGGACTATTGCCTGCCTTACAGCTGTTCGTTGCGGTTCTTCCCTGATTTATGACCTGAAGTCTTATGGAAGGCAGTCTGGTCTCTTGAGAGTATAATTAACTTGAGAATTGCAGCCTTGGCTTATATTACATGATTGAAGTTTATCTGGCACTTTTAATAATTTATTTGTAGTTCATTAAATCACATGTCCCTCTTGACTTAGAGGCTTGCAAATCCAGAGCTGTTAGCATACTGTCTTAAATTTATTCTGTATTGTCTGTTTCTACTGTCATTATGAATATAGTAGAATAATTTTCATGTGAAACTACGGGGTTTGCTCTGTACCATTGACAGAATAAAACATATATAGGCCTTTACTGTTCCTAAGGTTAATGGCGTTCTCTCAAAAAAAAAAAAAAAATTGAAGAAGGCATCTTGTTTAAGAACAAGGTTTCTTGGGTTGTTCTGTTGTTTGTTGTTTTTTTTTTTTTTTTTAAATCAGCTCTTTTCTGGTTTTCAGGTGGGTGGTGGTTTGGTTTGGTTTTGGTTTTTTTTCTTTTAAAGTTTTTTCCTCTATTCTTTCCTATTTCTTTCTCCACTGACTTTTATCAAGGATAGCTTCATAGAGCAGGAGCTTTAATTCCTAAACTAGTTTCTTACAGTTAATTCTTTCAGTGCTGATGCCATATACATTCTCTCTCTCTGGTGCAATTCTGTCAACACTGACACAGTTACACCAAGCATAAGTATTGTCCATTTTCTGTTTTCCATGAAAATCATTTCTTATGTCATGTATGAATTATTATTTGTATGTGTGGTGAAGTAAGTATTTGCACAGGGAGTGAAGGAAAATGAACTTTCAGAATAAAGATTTTGAGTTTCTAGACGTGAGAAAACAGAGCTGCTCATCTTTTGTTCTTTCTGATGAGACAGTTGGTTTGGACCGATCTTTTGGCTGGTTTGTAATGATTTGAGAGTCTGAGAAATTGACTACTTAGGGATACACAAATACACCTTGCCTGAGTAAAGGAGGGGCCACATAGTCTTGTGAGAACTAATCCTGCTTCTGTGTGAAATCAGCAAAAGTTTTATGTTGTATTTGGGCTGGATCATGCTCTTTAATAAAGGCAACTGAAGTCCTTGATTTGGCAGAACACATGCTCTAGCTCAAACCTGTGATTTTATCCTGTGGGCTTGCACCAGCTGATTCAAATACTGAAAAGTTAAAAGAGCACACATTAAAAACACAAAAGTGCATGAGAATAAGATCAAAAGGGTATCTAGCTTGTTCCTGCCCCTAGCAGTAACCAAAACCAGATGCTTAGGGAAAGCGTATAAGAAACTGGGCCTCTACTTTGAGATATTTCTCTTGACATGTTGTCTGCATTTTTCTCTGCTAATAATGGCAGAGCAACTTTTATATTTCTTTGGCATTATTTTTATAACTTATCTCCACTGTCTGCAGAGATTCAACAGTGTTATGGGTATCTTTAATGTCAGTGAATTATTAGTATTTTATTCTGCATAGACAAGATTACACGCACTTTCTGCTCTGTGTATGCTAAATCTAACATTCTGTTTCCCAGTTACTAAGCTGTCTTCTTTTTCTGGAATTTTTAGCTTTCCTAATTCCAGTCTGTCCATTTGGATTTTCTCTATGTTGTTGATATTTTGTAGTACTCTTATTTCCTCTTCCTTCTTCCCATTTTTCCAGGAGTCAAAGAGGTCAGAATCTCTCATGGACATACATCAGAAAAAGCTGAAGAGCAAAGCGTCCGAAGAAAAGAACAAACCTCAAGAAAGAAGGCCATTTGACCGAGACCAGGATCTCAAAGTCAATCGATTTGACGAAGCACAAAAGAAAGCCCTTATAAGAAAATCCAGAGACCTGAATACTAAATTTGAGCACAGTAAAGGCAATATGTTTTTATAACATAAAAGCATGAAGCTTTTTTGAAGTCAAGTCAAATAAACTTTGAATACTTAATTTTTTAAGTATTTTTCTGTAAATATTTGTATGCAAAATAAATACCCCAATGTTTAACTATTTTTCCCTTGTCTGTAAATACTCTGTTAGGGAGGATCATCTGTACTAAAACTAAACTGGTAAAGGAAAGCCCTGGTATAGAAAAAGATAATGTAGATTTGCTACTTTAAAATGATAAGAGAGATACATATATATTTTGTTAGCATAAAAGTAATTAATTAAAATGGCTATTATTTTAAGGAGTTCTAGATTTGATCTTGCAATGGAGTTGGCAGTTTCCCCCCTTTCTCCTGCCATGCATAAGATACTCTTGCTGAGCCTGACCTGAAGGCCATGGAAAAATCCCCTTTAGGCTCGTGGGCAGGACATTGCTTGACTGGAGTTCCTGCTGGGGTGTATAAACTCAAAATGGCAGCTTTTACGTACCCCCAGTGCTTTTCTATGATTCTGTGTCTGTACATAAATACAGGTTTATATGTATGCAGTATAATTTCTGTACTATAGCAGGAAGAGCTTGTCGTAGCAGAATAAAACCTCAAGATTTGCAGATTTAATTATAAAATGGTAGTATATAAGAAGAGAATATCTCATTTGAATTTCAATTTGTAGGGCGTATCATCAGGAAATCCATCTTTTTTAAGCAAATACAATGTGAAAAATCAAACCAAAATAAAGCTTATTTTGTCAGTTAATTTGCAGAGCAGAACAGCTCTTTGATATCAAAAAGGAAATAAATCTGACATTTAAAAAATCTACATCCATGTTTAGAGTTCTTTAGCTCTTCTGTGTGTGTGTGGAGCAGCTGAAGGGAGAGTTGTGTTCTTTAAAATTAGACTTGTACTTTCATCCTTTTTGTCTCAAGTAATGTTTGGGATGCTTTTTGAGGAGTTACTGGAAGTATCTATATATGAAAATAATTTTATATATGAGATGCTGGCAACTTGTTTGGAAGTGTGACGCGTTTTGCGTGTTAAGTGCCATGGGGTTCACTGTAATTTGGAAAAAGGCTACCATGACAGCTGCTGTCTGGGTTGGCTCATGTTAATAGAGCAGTGACCCAACGAGCCCAGAAACGAAGGTCTAAAAACTTGGTCTTATTTTATTGCACGTGTGTGTGAGCCCAAGGCACAGCCTCCATGTGCTGAGGAGAACTTTCGGTTTTGCAAACAAATGCTTACCTGCGATATATTTAGAGTCTGCTTTTTTGAATAGACAATTTACTTTGCCATCTGAAAAATCTGCTGCCTTCAGGAGGAAGAGGGACTGGTTTTGTATTGTGTTTTGGTTTTTCTTTAATCAGTTTTGACTTTCTGAGCCTTTTCATTTTGAGGTGAGAGGAGAGTTTAAACAAGGGCCATTTATTTTTCCTCCCCTAAACCAGACTTCTCTTAGTGCCTTGTGCTTTTTTGCCTCAGCAAGCGAGGTCTCGCTAGGTTTCTGCCTTCTGAGTTGTCCCCTTTCCCTTTTTGGGGAGCTCCTCTGCAGCTGGGGGTTAAATAACATCTCTAGCAATTCAGCAAATGCAGATTTCTTAATGGGAAAGGCAGTATTAGGAATGTTTGGGGGGGGTTTTAGGCAATTAAAGCAATGACAGGGTGAGCATCACGTGACTAGCTAAATCTTCGTGGTCGACAAAAAATGATCCCACTTCTGGAAACCCTAGTGCCTTTAGAAATGAATTTATTGCCAGGTGTTGCCTTAGGCAGCAAGAGCTGATCTCACGAGCGCATCGTGCAGTCGTCGCTCATTCAGACAAGTCTGTGGGAGGGACGAGGGCTGCTTGTATGCAGATTTTGTTGTCGTTAACGTGCATCGTTTTCAGTTTTGTTCTGTGGTCCCTCCTCCTCCAAACTGAGGACCGGTCATCAGATGGCCAGATCCTGCCATCCAGCCGTATCCTTGCTGTTTGCTCAATGCCCTCCCTGGCCCCATCGCGGTCCTCTGCCCTCTCCAGGGACGTATGCGGGACGTGCGCTTCTAATTAGCGAAGCCTTGATGTGAGTGGGGAACGTGTTTCATCTGCGTCATCATTTTTTTTTTTTTTTCCCCACTCTGAAGCAGCCTCTCGAAGACTTCATGAAATCCGCGTTACAAACTTGAGATAGGGGGAAAGTGGAATTGTGGAGAGTTCCAATTAAGCTTTTCATTACTTTGTAAATTGAGTGAACTTTTGAATTGCGTTAATATACAAACTAATCTCCTCTTACCAAGGCCAGACCATTCCCTCCAACGGTCATTAGAACAAGCAGTAACTCAGTAAATCACAAGCTCTGTAAGCTTTTGTGGGAAAAGATGAGCTGTCCTCTACAGTTTGGACAAGTTGTAAAGTATTTCTGCAGAGATGTTAGTGGGTGGCTTTTCAGAATCTTATTGGAAAAACCAGAATTTATTTCACAGAAAATCCTCACCGTAATTACTATGTAACGTTTCTGGTAACTGGCTCCCGACACAGATTTAACGGATTCTGTTGCTATTCTGCGCTGCCAGCCTCCGTTGCAGTGTATTGATTCTAGGCACATCAGGAAACTCTGTTTTGTAAAAAAAAAAAAAAATAGCAGGGAGGTTTTCCTGGATGTGAAAAGCCCATCAGCCTAGATTTTAAAGCGCTTGCCTTTGTTTTGTGCTGGCATAGACATCCTTTATTAATACTGATGTTAAAAATTTCTGCTCAAGAAGTAGGGTCCCCTCCTTCTGAAATGTCAAGCAGGTGTGGAATTTATAGTGAAGTCAAAAAAATGAAGCCTTTTGGGGTAGGCGCATGATAAATTGGATGTGTAAGAGGAATTTTAAAGAATATTATATGTTAATAACAAAAAAAAAAACAACAAAAACACCAAACCACCACAAACCCGTTGAGTCTGCTGTTACCAAGGAACAGTTAAAAGCAATAAAGACATTTCAAGAAAACTTACTGATTTCTTCGTGTGTATCTTCAGAACAAAATATTGAGCTACTGTGCTGTTCGATCTGGACAATTTTGTTAGAACATGGTACAGCAATACTCTCACCTGAGGAAAATCTCTGCTCTTCTGTTTAAACACCTAGTTATGGAGAGTTATTTTTTGCTTCTGCTGTTGCAGTCAGTGGACGCACTGTGCATGTTGGCTTTTCTGGATGAAGTGCGTTTCCCAAATAATAAACAACAATAGAAATGCATTTTATTTAGGGCTTTGATGGTGTCCTGTTGATAGCACAAAAGTGGCATTGTCGAAATAGCTGTCTTCTCAAAAGAAATGTTGAGATGAAACATTGATGTTTCTGTCCAGTAGAAAAGGGTTTTTTCCGCATAAAAGAAGTTTCAAAATGCTCCAGACGGCTCCAGGAGTCCAGGGCTGCTCGTGCCTGGGGACTTGTTTTGTTTTGGAAATGTAAACTTTGTTATTTCTGTCCAGCCAATTATAAATTGTATGTTGATTTAAGGGTAATATAGTATTAAAAATCAGAATCTGTGAAAACTTTCTGTACGTGCATCCTTAACTTCAGCCGCCCCACCTGCATACAGTGCATATAGTTTCTAATTGCGTGAATACCTCATTCTCTAATTAAAAGACATGCATGCGATTTTCTGTCCTTATGAATTGTGTGCAGCGTTTTATATGTGGGGGAAAAAAAAAGGTTATGCGGTATTTTTCAGCCAACAGCTTTAGATTTTTCTCCTGTGCTCACTAATGAAGATGGTGCCTTGTTACCCGATGTCCGTGAGGAACACAAGTGTGGGCATGGTTGCGCTCCCATAAAACGCATCTTCCTGGTGCTTCCAGCTGTGGCAGCCGAATGAGAAGTGGCGACCCTCCACAATAACTCACCCAAATGTGGCATTTCTGTTCTTTTCAATCGTGATGTGAAGGCTGAGGTGTTACCTGTGCAGAGATGATCTTTTCACAGCAGCAACTTCTGGGTCCTCCCATAGTGGCCGTCACCGCAACAGGCAAAAGCCTTTTCTCCATCACCTCATCTTCGTTCCTTGTGGTTCCGATCATCTGTTTTCTTACACCTGTCTTTAAACCAGTAATAAGTCCTATTGCTCTTTGAAATTATACCCATTTTGAATCAGCATGGCAAATTAAAAAAAAAAAAACTCTAGAGTGGGAACTTAAGGTCTCTAGGAGACAGCAGCACAGACTGTCACTTCAGCAGGAGCGGCTGCAGCTGTGACTTCTTCCAAGTAAGCAATCCAAACATAAATATTCAAAAGCAGTTCTCGTAAAAGCAGACTTCAGAGGGAGAAAAAAAAAATAAAAAATAAAAAAAGCGGCTGGCCCAGGCTCTCAGCTGCTTAACATTGCAATCCCTCGCTTGACTTCATAGGGCTGTAGCCACTTGTGCTTGCAGGTGTACACCTGACCAGGAGTTTGACAACTCTCTGGCCTTGGGGCAAAACGCATCTTCTTTCTGTCCTTTCCTGACTGTCTGTCTCGAGGAGCCTTGCTCCCTGCATTTACCAGCACCCGAGCTGCTACAAACACTTGATGTACATCAACAAACACTTTTTGCTCCGTCTTGAGCGAGCCCTGGAAGAGCCACTGCCGCTCTCCCCGTCAGAGCTCCTGGTGGCCTGGCTCCAAGAACCAGCCAACTGCAGAGTTTTGCGGCTACTCTTTTATGTTTCCTAGGAGCCATCCTTAGATCTTGCTGGCCTGTGCAGGGTTGCCACCCATCACCAGCTTAGGGTCATGAAGGAATTTGTCTGAGCCTAGCCACGATGGGGAGAGGACAAGTGTTGAGTTATTACATCGGGCTCGGCTCATGGAAGAGAAGACCCTTCGCCCACTGGAGCTTGATAGTGGGGTTTATGGTAGAGCAGCAGATCTGTGACACCACCCCGAACCCAGCAGCCGCCCTGGTTAAGTCCGTCAAGCCAGACTTTGGTGCAAACACAAGAAATCCTGGAGGAAGAATGCCCCACGGGTACGTATCTGCCTTCCTTCGCCTGAGCAACAGCCCCGTCGCTTAGCAGGACCCATCTCTGCATTAGCCATGCCCTTTCCTCGAGGAGAACCTCTTGAAGACACCCCTCCGGTGTCCGGCCAGATGGTCCCGGGGGGCTCCCGCAGTCATTC